ATCTTAGTTGGAGAGACGGGTTTTTCCACTTCTTTAGTACTTGTTTCTTTAGGTTTTTTAGTTTCTTTATTTTTTCTCTCAACTTCAATCTCTTTTTGAACTCTAACATTTAATCCATTTCCACTCCTAAATCAGACAGCTTCAAGTTGCTCTTGTTCTTTATTTTTGTCTTTTGGATTGATTTCAACACTACTAGGAAGTGTTCCATGAAGCCTATTGCTAAATGCGTTAACAATTTGTCCCTTTTAATTCTCAATATTTCAAATAGCAACACTTTGACTTTGTAATTAATTTCCTATTTGTAACACCACTTCTTTCATAGACAACTTCTTCTCCTTAGTTTATTGGTTACTACTAAATCTAGTAGGATAAGTAGGTCTATGGTTAGCACTACCCTGTTTGTTCCTGTTTCCCTATAGGTTTACTTGGTTGTTCCCAAATTATTAACTTCCAGCACTATAACTGTTATTCCAATTAAAATTAGGATGGTTTTTCTAACCTGGGTTGTAAAAGTTAGAATATGGGTTATTAGTTCTATTATTAATAGCATTTAAAGTTTCTAATGAAGTTTGAGATTCAATCATCTATCCTAATGAATTCTCTTCAATCACATGGGGTGTTTGAGAAAAAATCATTCCAATTTAGTCTATTTTCCTCGATAATGCTACAAGTTGAGATGTAACCATCAAAATTGCATTATTATCATGAATACTGGCTAATTTTTTTGTATTTATCATTTCATAAGGCCATGGAAAATTATTTTTAGCCATCTCTTCAATTAATGCATAAGCTTGATCAAATGGTTTTGATATTAATGAACCTCCATCAGTAGCTTCTATGATAGATCTAAGGGATCTTACTAACCCATTATAAAAGGTGTGAATGATAAACCAGTCTAGTAAAGCATAATGTAAGGAGTTCCTTAAATCTTTCCCAAGCTATGTATATTGACTCTCCTTCAAATTGAGTAAAAGAAATAATATTATTTCTAAGTTTAGCAGTTTTGAAAGGTAAAAAAAATACTTAGACAAGAAGTTTTGTACTAAATCCCCCCAAGTTCTAATAGATCTATGTGCTAACTAGTTCAACCACATTTTAACTTTATCCCTTAAGGAAAAAGGAATAAGTCTAAGTTGGATACCATCATTTGATACGCCATCATATTTAAATGTAGCACACAGTTCTAAAAAACTTACTAAATGTAAATTTGAGTCCTCAAATGGTGTTCCCTTAACTTGATTATTTTGTATCATTTGTATAATTGCAGGTTTAAGTTCAAATGAGTTAGCCGCTATAGAAGGAGTTTGTTTACTTAGGTGAATTTCATCTACTGTAGGGTTTGCGTAATCGCTTAAAGGTCTTTATAAATTTTGTTGTTCATTTTCACTATTATTGATGTTCAATGTTATTTTGCAACGTGTTCACCATTTCTTAAAAATTGCGAAGTCATTTTTGTTTTCTAAATTTTCTTTTTGTTCGTTCTAATTTAGAATCATAAGACACTAAACCTTCATATCTCAAACTTCACATACACGAGATAAAATTTCAAAAAATAACAATACTCCAAAATGATTTTAATTTTTGATTTTTTAAAAGTTTTCTTATGTTTTATAATTTTCAAAAATAAAAAAGTACTAAAATTAATTTTTAATTCTCTTAAAATAACTTTATAGTTTAAATAAAATTCTAAGTTAAAAAATTTTGTTGCTATCCCAGACAACGACTCCAAAAACTTAGTCCGACCCGCAATTACACAGATATTTATACAACAAAAGATTGACAAAAACTTGGCCCAAATTATATTTAGCGGCTAGTGTGAATAAATAAAATAATTTAGAAAAGAAATAATAAGCCTTCACACTAGGGGTACTATGCAAGTATATGTATCATTTCAAGAAATATAGGATTTTTTTTAAAAACCACAATATTGATCCCACGAGGAAAGCATTAACTTTGTAATAATAACTTAGAACACTTATATCTAAATTGCTGATAAAAATGATAGGAGAATGGTGTCAAAAGTTTTGTAAATGATTACAACTAAATTCATGTGCAATATAAATTTAAACAGAAAGTATGCATAAAGTTTAAGAGACTAATAAATTTAAAAAAGTTTGAATGTAATGAATAGATCTTTCTCATTGCAAAGAGATCTTAAACAATGTAGGAATTAAATGACTAAAAACATAAAATGGTGTATTGTCACAAATAGGAGCATACTTATTCATTACCCCCTCTCGGTGCTAGCAAAGAACATCGGCTAATCTTAAGTTTGTTCTAGCTTGTGTAGTAGTGCTGAGTAAATTCTGGCTTCTCACTTCCAGATTACTTATTATGCTCTCTCTATAGGACCTACTAGAGGCCCTTAGATCCAAACTCAAGATCAAATTAACAAATGAATTTAGCCTGTCACCCTAGAAACATCAATTCTACGCCCATCAAGACTTATCTCCTTATCCATTTACACTTCCCCTCGGACGATCACAATGACTCTTTCCAAAGTTAAGTGTGGTACTCACTAGTTGGTGAAATCATAGCCCTCCCGGGTCATTATGTTTCGCAACAGATTTTAACATCACAAATGACTAGTTTTTAAAATCAATGAAGAATCAGTGAAAATAACATCACAATTTTATAAAATAAAAAGAAATTTGTAAATCAATCTCATCCCACTTGATTAATTCTCATATGCAAGGAGAAAGAAATGAAAATTACTCAGAATTTATGCAAATAAAACAAAAACACATGATTTGTATTGAAAGTCAAGTCTTAACAACAAAAACTCAAACACAAATACAAATTACTTATCTTATGTCTTCTCCCCAAGCAATTCCTGAAGTCTCCTTCAAGCAATCTCCAAACTCTTCTTCTACAAACAACGACTCAAAAAAATTTACTCACAAACCCACTAAAACACTTGAAACTCAAGCCCAAAAGCCTTTTAAAAACTCCTAAAAATCCCTAAAAAGTCTCTTTTTCATTCAGTAATTGACCCTTTTAATAAATAACTGAAATTAACCAAGGGTCTCTTCAGGCTCCCCTTCAAAATTCGGTCAAATTCAGTGCACGTTCTAGAAAACTGGTTACTGGGGCTATAACGCCAGTCAGGGGTGCTATAGCACCCATCACGATCGTAAGTTGTGCTATGATGCCATATGAAGTGTTGTCAATTTGCTCCATTTTGCTCTCATTTTCTCTAAATATTTATTCCTTGTACTTTAAACCAAAAATATGCAAAATGTCTTTCTTTAAAGTATAATATCATAATAAATGTGCATAAAATGAACATTAAACATATATTAAAAACATGTAATTTTAAGGTGTATCACTAGCTACAAAGTTAGTGCGCAGATGAACTCGTCGTAAGAAGTGGTAGCGGCTGATGTTGATCGATGATGGTTGACGAGTGATGGCTAGCGACGATCGACGATTGATGGTCGACAGTGGTCGACGACTATCGGCGATCGTTGACAATCAGCGGTGAAGTGACGCTGGACTTCAGCTCCTTCTCCAAGCTTCAAGCTCTTCTTCAGGCATCAATCTCTCCTCACCAGGCTTCAAGCTCTCGCCCCCCTTTCCCCTCATGAAAGAGATGGGGCTCTATTTGTAGAGTCTCGATTGGAAATAATGAAAGAATATGAATCACTTTAATCGAACGGTCATGAGAGATTCTCTTGATTAGACAATATTTAATGGATATTTGAGTGGCTTAATGATGTTAAAATTGAGTGATCTTGAGCTTGTTGGATTCATCTTGTTGAAACACTTGATTTTACTATAAGCATACTAGATTCGACATTCATTTGACCTTTCAAATATGCCTGGAAGACTTCTAAAATGGGTTTAATGTCTTGATCCGGGCTTAATTGGACTTGGATTTGACCGATTTGGGTATCACTTGGTTCAACTTGTTGAGTTAATCAGTTTGATTGTAAGTTTGCTGAAATCAGAATTCTAGATAACTTTATATCAAAGTTTGAATATTTTATGCTCAAAAGATTGTCTTGAAATTAGTGTCATGTCTTAAAATTCCTATCCGATGAAGGAGATTTGTTGTAGCGAATAAAGTAGTAAAATACCTCTCAATTGAAATATGCAGCTAGGTCATATGCCTACTAGAGCAAACCAACTAAATGAATCAATTCTATACAAAATAACAAAAAAAGACCAAAAACTTATTCAATTATTGTTTCTATAAGGTTAAAATCATATTCGAGCCTCTTTCTAACCATATTCAAATTATATTTGAGTTGCAAAGTTTATTTCAAAACTAATAATAAAATCTGAGATTTACATGTTATTTGACCCTAGTTTTTTATGTTCAAACTAGTTCGATCTAGATTCAAACATGATTATATATTATATTTTATGTGATTCAAACATCCTCACTATCGTTAGAACTTTGTTTTAGATCATAGATTTATAATGTAATATTCTACCTTTTTGTTCAAACATAGTTGTTGAATCCCTCTCCACTATTCTCTTTTCTATCATAACTTTGAAAGATTTGATAATTGCATTCAAATTCCAATAAAAATCAAATGATTACTTTTTAAGAGCTCGTAGAGTAGTCGAGCAGATGTTGCCAAGATTTTGCGAGAAAATAGTTAATACCAAAAAAATTGTGGTTCGATCATTTGTGTTAGCATAAATGACATTCTCTCATAATATAGTAGTACTGATTATTTAATTTGAAATAGAATTTGCAGCATATTTCTTAAAAAAAAAAGGTTTATATAAATAATTTATAAAAGTATTACACTATAATTTATAAAATTTTTAAATAAGCTGTTAAATTTTAATCACCCAAATAATATCCTTAATTTAATGACTCTAAAATTTACTTAATCACATTTATAAATCACACTTAAATTAAATCTTGCAGCCCTTTGAAATTTGTTCAACGGGAGAAATGGAAACCACATTATCTCCACTACAGATTCCAGACGTATATATAATATATATTGATCGAACGTGCAAGGGTGCATCGGATATGCACTTTCCCATCAACGCCTTGGACGGCGATACTGTTGTTTACAGTAGTACATTACGAAGTCAAAGCCCAACCATCACCTTCAATAGGAGCAATCTTGTATATTTTGGTCTCGTCTGTGGGGATCGGGTGGATTGTTCAGATGATGAACTAGATTTTCTCTTCTCTTCATTTCTACTGCCGGATCATCACCTGCTCGTGCTCCTTTCCCTCAAATCGATTTCAGCATGGCGGCGTGCAGCTCTATCCAAGAAGTCTCCTCGGGAAAGCCCCTTTTCATGGCAGTCTACGTGACAGTGTTCGTTGGAATCCTCTTCTCCACCCTGTTCATTGTCTCCTCCCTTTACTCATCTTCCAACGGCGACAGCAACAAATCGCTATACTTCGTTGGCTCATGGCTCTCCCCCTCATCTTCCCACCCTCGATCTCGTAAAAATTAACCATATTTCTTTTCTTCCAATCACATGTTTGATCTGATTTACGCTTACTGGGATGCTAATTGTTGATGTTTAGCAGAGGTAAACGTCACCGTCTTTCATAACCAATCTAGCAGTGCTAATAATTCTACCAATGCTGCTGGAGAAAACTTCCTGAGTAGAGCTATATGGGATCTGCCTTCTCCAGATTCGACGATTCCGGACCTAGCGTCCTTCAAGCTAACCAGGGAGATGGTGGGATATCGCGCCAAAGATAATGTCATAATTGTAACCTTTGGGAACTATGCTTTCATGGACTTTATTTTGAATTGGGTCAGGCATTTGACAGATCTTAATGTCTTCAACCTTCTTGTAGGTGAAATCTCTTACTTGCTTTTAATGATTTGCTTTATTGAGGGCTGCGTTGTTATTGAGAACTTCCTGACTTCACAGGTGCAATGGATACCAAGCTGTTGATGGGTTTGTATTGGAAAGGTGTTCCTGTTTTTGACATGGGCAGTAATATGAATACAATTGATGTTGGTTGGGGGTCACCAACATTTCATAAAATGGGAAGAGAGAAGGTTTTCTTGATAAACGCACTTCTACCTTTTGGCTACGAGTTGCTGGTGTGTGATACTGATATGGTTTGGTTGAAGGTATATGATGTCTCTGTTTTTTAGGTTTTCTTTATTTCATCTACTTATTATTCACACATGCCTTGGTACTATTTGCTGAGGCAGTAGTTTCATTCAGAGCTTATGGCCTTATTTCCTGGCAACTGATGTTATTTTAATGTCCCTAAAAGGATGGTCCAGAGGTTAAGCAATGACTTTTATTTAACACGCCCGAGTTTCAAATCTTGTCATGGTCAGTTTTGAGGGTTTAGATTCCTCTTAGGGGGGAATAAAAACGAAGGAAGATACCTTGTTGCAGCTAATAAGGTAAGCTTATCATGAAGATGGCAATCTTTGTATCTTAGTTATCTGAAAATGTCTGCTAAATGGAAAAGAATTAGGTTTAAGGTATAGTACTTCGAAATATTCAAATTCTCCATATATTTACTTATGCAAGGTGAGAAATTACAAGTCAAGTATGAAAATGATATACTTGACAAGATTATACTTTGTGCATCTAGGGCTATCCTGGGAAGATACCTCTCTAGCCTACTGAGCATCATCTCTTTGACCAAACCATCACGTTTTAATATGAGGTTTTGTTAGATAATTATGTTTAGATGCTTATATAGTGCATGGTAGTTTCACATGGATACTATTTCTTCCTTTCCATTGTAGAGCATAGTGTCCTTGTCCTGTCATGCATATGTTTGTTCACTATGCCTAAGCTCTATATCTACAAATTTTTCGATTTGGCGTCGAAGCAAGCCTGATGTTGGTGGTTAACTTGCTAGATCAAATCAAGCTCAATCCAAAATCAAAATTAATTAGCTATACAATAGTTCATATTGAATTAGGTTTATTGATTTATTTGTTTTTACTTGCAATGAGGTTGATTTTGTTTGCCTCTGTTTGCTTGCCTTTCATTTTTTTTTAATTGATAGTTTATTAAACATGAATTCATGCCTATTCTAATGTTTTATCCATAATAATGTTGTGAGTTGACGATTCTGCGGGCATATAGTATTTCTTTTCATGCACTTGCTATAACTATCATTTTAATTTGCCATATACCAGCTTTGATTGGGTGCATAGTCACTTGAGATTCAGGGCCCGTTTGGGGCAACTTATTTAGGTGCGGCGGCATTTTCAAAGCACCGCCTTGGTGTTTGGAATTCGCGTTCAAGCGGATTAATCATACTGTAGTGCGTTAGCGTATTGGACTTTCTTAAGGTTCTCCGACGCGGGTGAAGACCAGCGTCCCGCGTTCAGCTTGTATCATTGCCCTTGATACCCCTGATCTCCCTTGCACTCTCCCTCCCTAGATTCGTCACCCTAGAGGAGATCGGACCGTATTCCTTTCGATTTTTCTTTCTGATTTGTAAGGTATATTTTTCCTCACCGTCAATTCGTAAGGAATGCTTCCCCTAGAGCAATCGAACATCGGTGGAAGTGAATGGTTCTTTGTAGATGATCGAACGTCGTTCTTCATTGTTTTTTTTTTCTTCCTTGACCGAAGAGCAAGGATTTTCATCTTCTTCGTTTGTTTTCAACTCGAACAATGCGAATGGTTCTTTGCCCTAGAATTTCTTTCGTTTTTTGTTGGCCGTGTAGAAAAGTATGGAGAATGGTTTCCTTATATGGGGGCCGAATTTCGTTTTGATTTTTGCTGCTTGTTTCTATTTTTGCTGCTCGTTTCGATTTTTTTCAGTTGTTGGATGACTGAAGAACAATAATTTCCTTCTTCTTTTTATTTCAAGTCGAAAAGCAAGGATTTTTTCATGGAGTTAGGAATAATTTGTGAGCTCATTATAGAAGGAAGAAAAGGCTTAAGAGCTGTCTATGAACTGTTATTAATTCTTGTTTTTCAAGTTTATGAGCTGTTGTTTATGGACTGCAATTAATTTCTGTTTATAGGAAACATAGATATGAGTTTGGTTCATGAAAATGCTGCTATTAATTCCTGTTTATGAGCTGCATATCTATGTATTCATTGCAATCCCCATTGGTGGCAAATGTCATCGTCCTTGGTATGGATTATGACGGTATGGATTATGACTTTGATCTTTGATGCAAGCTATGAAAGTTGATTTGGTTATTTGTAAAATGTATGACCAAATAAGACATATACATCTTGCTTGGCTTCGTTAAAATAAGGAAATCTTGATTTGGTTATACATTGAAGATTGTGGATTGGTTCATGAAAATTCATCTCAAATCATTACGATATTGTTTATTCTTCTATGGTAGCTTAATAGCTTTTATTTCTAATGTTTCAAACCTATATCTACCTTGTCATTGAGAGGATTCCATACTCTTATCTTTCGATTTATGTTAAGAATGACAATGGTTATAAAGTACATACATAATGTACATACATAATGACAATGTTTGCTTGGTCTTTCCGATACAGGGATCTGCTAATGCTTGCTTGTTCTTTCTGATATAGGGATCTGAATTTACCGTTGTACCTGCTTTTAGTTTATTGTTCATATGCATATGCGAGGCTTTGTGTTTTATATTAGGCTTTCAAATGACTTTTGATTTTTAGTATTACATGAAAAGGGCGGAAGACTGAAAACATGTTGTATTTTTATTTGTTAGTTGGAGAACTTTTATTATCACCAAAGGGAGAAAAGGGAGAGAATTGCATGTAGTGTTTTCCCTTTAATATTTATAGTTATGTAATCTTACACAATTGTTTAATAAAACATGTTCGATGTCTTACTGTGGATATAGGTCTTTGACCAAATCAGATAATTTTTTTGTGTCCTTATATATTTTATTTGTTTGAGCAAATAACCACTCTGTTGTTTGTATTGGTGGCAAATGTGATTATTTGGAGACTGTTGTTGCTGTTGGCTTGTTGTTGTTATTGGCTTGTGTTCCTGTTGTCTTGAGATTCATAATCATGAGCTTTGTGCTTATGCTGGTGCAAATATTTCTTTAGCTATTTTTTTATGCATGTTGAGTTGCAATTCTTCATATAGTTTCACCATGGCTAATGCAAGTGAAAGTGGTCCGTCAGCGATGTGGGATAAGGAAGTTACAAATTTTTCTGCAACCTCTGCATCACCGAGATTGAGATCGGGAATAGGCCAACTACCTAGTTCAATAAGGAAAGTTGGCAGAATATAGCTAAAAGATTTAAAAAACTGACTAAAAGGGATTATGAAAGACTGAAGTTTAAAAATAAATAAGATCAATTGAAGGAGTGAAAAATTTGGAAGGAACTCAAACGTGAATCTACGGAGTTGGGCTGGGATCCAATTAAACAGACAATTGATGCTCCAGATGAATGGTGGGCCGAGAAAATAGAGGTAAAGTTGTCATTATTTTTTTTGTTAATTTAAAATATTTTCAATTTAAACAATTATCCCCCTAAACTCCCTCATTGTAATGTTATAGGCAATGCCGACAGATAGAGTTGTTTTGTGTTATTGTGGACTACCGGTTCCGTTATTCCGTTACTCACGTCGTGTCAGCTTCATAGTTATGGGAGACAGTTCTACGGTTGTCCCAAGGGTGTTTCAGCTCATTGTGGTTTCTTCCGATGGACGGACAGTTCCACATGTTACACTGCCAGCAGTGATGAAAATTCGATGTTTTCCCAGGTTGTAGTGCAGCTGAGAACACACGTAGCCAGAGTTTGAAATTAAATATTTTAGTATTTCTCATTGCAGTTGTACTTGTTTTTATTTTTTTTATTATTTCCGGTACTCACGAGAGTGTGAGAACTGTATGTCATCTTTTGAAACTGATCTGTGATGATTTTATGTTTTTACACTATTTGCTTCTGTACTACAAATAAGTGATTCTGAATAAGCTGCCCCAAACAATTTTACCAAACAGGGGCAGGAATGTCATTTATACAGCCATAATTACCAATAAGCTATTCTGAATAAGCTGTCCCAAACAGCAAGCAAGATTATTCCAATAATCTGCGGATTATCAGATTATCAGAATAATCTGCTTATCAGCATATTATAAATAATCAACAGCTGCTACAAACAGACCCTCAACCTCTATGTTCACTGAAAATGTAAGTGACAAAGGAAGTGAGTTTGCAAGGCCAGACTCGGGAACACATCACCCAACCAAACTTGGTATGAACTCATTCGTCATGTTCGATAGAGGCATCTAGCTAGTCGGGCTCAAGGAATTTACTCGACCACCAATAATGATGCAGTTTTACACACACCCATCCAAAAGAAGCAATCACTTTGGCTTGGGATGATTTCATCTTTAACCAAATTAGTCTTCATAATCCAACTCGACTAAACTGACTGACTCTAATCATGGATGCATCCTGATTTATCAGAAAAATCTACAATCTCTTAAACAAATCGATAGCCTAGTCCAAGCTTATATCTTCTTGTACTTTCTTAGTTCTTTTCACATGTTTGTTTTTTATTATGTAGCCTTTTTTAATAGGGCTTGAGACCCTAAATTCTAATCTATAAAGAGTGGATTCTAGGGAGAGTCATGCTTTCTAGTTTTTCCACTCCTTCGCCTCCCTACTTTACCTTTGTCCCACCTTGATCCACACATTAGTGGATTTAGCTTCTTTTTTCATATCTTTTGTTGAGCTTTCCTCATTTCCACTATATTAGTAAGGTTTAGGCAACCTCCATGGATTAATTAGGATCCAACATGATTTCAATCGTGGTGAGCATGGATATATGCTTAGAACCATGATGGGCATTCATAAATCTATTAAGGGACTTAAGGTTTGTTTTGAGCAGCTGCAGATTATTTATAATTTGCTTATTTGCAGTTTATCCTAACAATCTGATAATATGTAGATTGTTCTGATAAGCTGGTTGGTTATTGGGGAAAATATATTCATAGCAACTTATTGGCAGCTGTTTCTGGATAAATATTCTGCTCCTGTTAAGTAATGTTGTTAGCAAGAAAACTATTTGGACAAATTAATTGATAAAATAGAAGCCACAAACTATTACAGATTACTTTAAAAAAATAAGATGCAGTCCTCACTTACGTGTGAGTATCAAAACTAATAAAATAAAGAGAAAAATAAT